AGATGCAGTTTATAATTAACATTAAGTTTTAGAAGCACGTAAGGACACTTAAAATCAATACAGTTCCATGCAAAGTTTGCATGGTATCAGCGTATTGTTATCAACTCAAAGATTCTATGATAATAACAACCCATGCTGTTATCTGTGGGTCAAGAAATTGAAAATATAAAACATATATTGCACTTTTCAATATTTTGCAGAAATGTTTTATTCTATTCCTGTTAAGGGATTAATTATAATAAAAACCTTCAAGTCGTTCAGTACAATAACCTACACGTGCACGTGCTTCCTGTCGGCATTGTAACTTCATTGTATTAAAGATGTCTACATGTCTTAAATTTGATAAACTGATAATGAATCTTTGACATTTCATAAGCGCTATTCATAAGCATCAAATGGTTTAAATTTAATCAATTTTATATTTTTCAGTTAATACTTTCAAAGTTTTCTATATAAAATAGCTCAAAGCAATCAGAACATCCTCGGCTATTATCTATAATAACCTCGGAAACAATACGGATTGAAAGTAGTTCTACCACGTGGTTTCAGGTGTTAACAGAAACAGAGATAATGTAAAACGAATGTTTATTTTTGACATCCAAAAGAAAAGTAATGTTTGTTTCGGTACTCTTATGCTTGAAAACATGTCTGACAACAATTTGTAATTTAAATATGCCCATTGATGTTCAATTTTAAAAAAAATCCGACTTAATGTCAACAGGTTGGTTTTTTTGTTCTTTCGGTTTCTACAACTATAATAATAAATATATAAATAATGTATTGTTTGCTTTTGTACCTATTAATTAACTTATTTTAGGTGGACCTTTACTACATATATTGGAAATAAACTTGTCAACAACTCGCAGCATTAAAACACTATTTGTTTACATGTTTAGTTTCTTAGCGTAGGTTAGACCGAAACACTGCATCTGTTCTGTGTATTCATACTATTGTGTTCGAGGTCCTTATTCAAAGACTGACGGAAAGGGCCGAAAAGTTGCGACTGTAGCGCGAAGTTGACGAAAAAAATCAAGATCACAAATTAGCGGCATGTGTTTTGTTTCCGACTTATCCTGTAGTAATTGTACCCTATTATTTTTATTTAATATGTATTAAATGCGCAAAGAGACTGTATTGCAGTAAATTAATGTATCCATTTCTAATCACTATCATCTAGTATCATGTTTAGTAACCATACTTAAAGCATTTAGATATTGTATTACTGACAGCAGATTGGTTAATACATTACATTCATTTGTACAAACTTCTTCCATTCTTTACACCATGTTTTTACACCATCACCTTGCAGACTAACGATGTTTATGGTTTTGCCTAACGTTATATATATTGAGTTCACTCGTAAATTACTTCCCATTGATGACCATCCTCAAGGGTTAACGATAATGGTTTGGGTGCTAACGATATGATGTGTTAATGTCATTTATATTAATTGGTATACGCTTCTTGTTATAATAACAAGGATATAATGATCTTCTTGCATGGTAACGTTTACCGATTTTTACTTATAACTATTTGCTTATACTCGCATTATAGTGCATTGTTTGAACCTAATTCCAAACAATGTTACAATGCCACCAGTTGACCACTTCTTCTTGTACTGACCAGTGTCTATATAGAAACTGTTAGATTGATTTTAAAGGAAACTGGACGGAAACGGAGAATACTTTATTTTTTGTATGATCAAGTGAATCAATAATTTCGTATTTAAGAGGATACATCATTGTGTGGAATTTAAATAAGGCACAAACAATAAAAGAAAAACAAATATAATGGAACCGGCGCATAGTAGGAAACTAAAGCAACAAGAAATCATTCAAAGGGTAATATTGCTGTTACAATTCTAAATGTGAATAATAAGATCAATTTATCTATGTTATACTCTGGATTACTCAACGCATACATTAAGTTTCTATAATAAATTGCTGTTGGTTTAGCTTTGTAGTGCATGCAATTTAATATTGAAGAAGTGTTACGCTTAAGCATAAACTTTACAAAATAAAAATAAAGTTCTATATTAGCAATCATCTCTTGAATTATTTAAATATGAAATACGAAAAAAGAATTCACGTAGCATTTTAAATTGTAGCTGCTTATCACAGTTTCGAACTTATTTTACAGCTAAAGTTTGCAGCGAACGCGTTGTGGCTTTATTGTTATATTCAACTGCTACTTAAACATTGCTAAAATAAACCAAATAATTTGTAATCAATAAGCTGATCATTGAACAGTCGATGAATCAATCAATTGTATTTTGTATTTATTTTAATGTCCAAAGCGGTTTTAATTTTACAAATTTTGTGATATTATCAAAACATCCATGTAAAAGTTTGGGTAAATATTTTACTTCTTTAACATTTAATTTAATAAAAAAATATGTAACGTTTCATTAGAATCTGCCTGTATATTACAACAAAAATATCATGCGAATATTTTATATATAAATTCAAATTTCCCATCAATAACTCATAATTTGTATATAGTGCATGTATTCTTATAACTTGACTAATGCGTTTTTATAAAATTTACCAAACAAAAAAGCTTCCGTAAACAATATGTTAAAGAAGCCCGGTTTCACATGTGATTTCTCTTGGGAGAGTCTGAATAATGTAAATATTACAATAAGACAAAACATATTATTTTCTATATGATTCTACGATTAATGAGGTTGGATGCTCCTGGATAATATATTTATATCATTTAAGGATTAATATCTTTGCATGTATTTATTTTCAATTTGCAATAAGTATAAAATACTTTATAGTAATAACAGTCTGAATCGAACATTAAATTAATGAAAAATATAAAAATGCATTCGACTCTCATTTATAACTTGCTTCTAAGCTTTTACTCATTTGAAATATTACTACTATTTTTCTTTGTTTGATGAACTTGTGAAAGGACCGGAAAAAATCTTAATATTTCATTTACACGTAATTTTCTCTAAACTGTTATGGTAATATATTGATAACTTAAGTGATCAGAATAAATGGTCTGCAATACCAAAAATGATAATGTTGAACTCATTTAGTATCATATGCGTCCACAAACATCGAAACAAATATATATGACCGTTGCTGTAAGGTTGGGATGCATGATCCGTTATTGTCTATATAAAGCTGATGATAAGTTTTTTACATCAAAACACTATTATCCTCAAAAAATAATTCATAATCAATATCTTGGAACTCACTATTACATTTTAACATTTAAAGAAGTATTTGAAAAAATATCTTAATGCTATATATTTACATGTTTATGCTTATCAATATTCATATGCTTATGGAAAATGTACCTTTTGTAGATCAATGGACTTTAACTGGAAACTGTTAAAAGTATTTTTAATTAGAATTCTTCGAATTGATTCTTGGGGAATAAAATTGAAATAGGACAACTTCAGGAACTCTTATTGTTGAGTTCTATAGAATATTTTGTAAAAAATCAGAAAAGATGAGAACAATTGGAAACATAAATTTAAATATAAATTCATGATGTATTTCTTGCATATGAATGACATAAACAACCGTTTGCATTATTCAAGACTTTTAAAAGTTTCTATAAACTGCAAGACCACTGAATGAAAGTTCATTATTTTCCCCCTGATACTGCACCTGTTGTCGTTTCTCAGTGTTAAATGTGTTGCCATAATCCGTATTTAACAGCGAAATAAATTTGTTAATAGATGATAATCTATCATAGAAAACCTTGCTCACAGTGCTGCCAAAATGTATTATGCTTAATTACAACGTGCTCTCGTGCAATCATATTGAATTAATTATTTCAAGATTTATACTTGTACTTACTAGAATCATTTTGTTTACAGAGAATGTCTTTGTTGCTATATTTGTTTTATATATGTATACAAAAACATTGGAATAGATTCAAAAATGATTAAAGTTGATGCAAAAATACATTATGAAAATAGTAAGAAAAAAAGACAAAATCAATGTATCATTCAAGGCAAACAAATACACATGAAAATCAAAACGTAAGAACATAATGAGTGAATTTACAATACGTGTTATGACAAATTTACTGTTTTCAGACTAACACTAATGAAATGTGGCATTCATTGGGATGTTGTCAGTATATTGTCAATGTATTGACACCTTAGGTGTAAACAATAGCTGTTATGCCAGGAACGTGTCAATTAGCCTAAAAAATGCGGTTTGTATTTAGTTGAATGATGACCACACATTTACATGGATTCAAAACAGAAGAATGTCTGTTAGTATATATAACAAACAATGATTTCAAAATATATATGACATAATTTATCTTAGAAAATCTTTTAACAATTAATACAAATTAAGAAATTGAATTCTATTTCATCAGTATGAAGAACATGAACCTTGTGCTCTAAGTTTAATTCAGACCTTTTTGTTACATTTGTAAAAATAATAATCCGTAGATGATAAAGCCAAAGTTGTGATTTACAAAAAATCATTAGGACGATGCTAAAGTCTAACTTTTACAAATTTAATGTAATTGGTAAGTCAACACGAACAAAGCATCGTGAAGAGTCTGTATAATCTTTTTTTCCAACAACATAATGGCTTTAAAAACTACAGTGACAATGTCGGAAAAAACATAGGAATTGAGTCATATTTTTGCAGCTTTTGAAGTTAAGACTAACAGATTCTAAGATATAAAACAATTGAAAACCTAAAGAAAGTACATGTATATCGCCCTTAAAATGTTGTTTTTTAAATAATTTATATTCCTTTTTTAATTACCTTTAAATTTTCTGTTAAATATACAGGTATAAACTTACTACGATAGAATCATCATTCACAAGTAAATACATATAGTTTCGTCATGGTATGTTCGTTCTTTAACATCATGATTGAGAACACAACAGTAATGAGAAATAGGACATTTTCTACATATCCTTAGCGTTATGATTATACGTACAATATTTGTTATTTCTATAAGCTGGCAAAAAAGTCAGAAAATACCTGTACGGTTGAAGACGGTGATGACCAGCGGCAAACATTTATGCAAACAACTGAGGAAGTGTACTTGTGATTTATTACGTAATCATATCATTAGAAAGGTTTTGACAAACTATAAATTGTAAACAAATACACATATATCAGTTGAAATCAAACGAATACAGAAGAACATCATTCCATTATGTTTCATGAAGTATCGCTTGTATTTTTCAAGCATCTTAATCAAATTAATGCAGATGCTAGAATAAAGAAAGCAATATACATTGTGTGCAACAAGAAGATTTTATGAAATATGCACGTGCAAACGGTGTGCCTTAATAACATTCAATCAAACAAGAGTGGAACAATGAGTTGAAGCCGAAAACATGTGGATACATTATAGTAATTGTGGTAATCACGAGTGACAATCAATTAGATGTCTGTCACAAAGGCAGTGAGTTCCAGGACAGTCGGTTCAATGTTATCTTACTTTAAGAGAACACATGTTGGATTAACAAAACGGAAAGTTTACAATATAAATTGATGATATATTACTGTGAATAAAATAGCTGAAAAAGTGAATATAATAAGATTTAAAAATAAAACATATTAATAAAAATCTTGGATTAACATAATAATGGAGCGACCACACAGTCGAAAACTAAAACAGCAAGAAATCGTACAGAGGGTAATTTTTAATTGATATATAAAATCACAATTCTTACTTTAAAATTTAAAATGCGTATGATAGAAACTTAGATTTAAATGTACAGGATGATTCTGGGACATTGCATAGATTTTTATTCTGTTTATGATATTATTTTAGAATTATATTCATGAAATTTTATTTATATATCAACATTTCAAACCTTTCCAAAAGAGACTTGCGGATACATTGTGTCAGTTTGTACATTTCAAGCAACATTTTCCCTTTTAAATCAATTAAGTTTTTTTGTTTAAAAAATAACGGTTCATTTATAAATTTGAATTAATGTCAAATTAAAAGAATAAATCGTCCGTCTGTTTTAAGTTCTAAATTGAAATTAAAAAGAAGAAAATATAACAATAATAAAGACATATACGAGGGGTTATCCAAAAATTCGTGGACTTCTTTAATATCGTTTGAACGTCACTGTATATTGTAATGAAATTTTATCAGCATATATTGTAGAATATTATCAACATGTTTTGAAAGGAACAGTTAACTGCGTCAATAAATAATGATATTATATTTAATTTAGTTTTAAATAAGTACATACACGGCACCCGGCGCACGGTAGAAAAACGCAATTAGTCATCGTATATTTTTTGCTAAAAAACTACTAATTAACGTAGAAAACCCGCTAAACATCGCATATTTCTTTTATGATCTCATTTAAGTAATTCTTTAAAATTATGGATGTCATTTCCGTTAATATTTGTTGAAATCGCCAGAAACGCCAGACGGCGATATTGTTTACAACGGGAAAATGATGGACAGGCAGTTATTAGAAAATAGCGTGATCATAGAATTTTGTTGTAATTTGGGAATGACACTAATAAACACGTGTGGAAAAAAACAGAAGGCGAACAAAGAAAATAAAATTTCACTATCATTAGTGTTTAAGTGGCATACAAATTAGTGATGGACTTTACTTTGTTAAGCAGTAATGGTTATTGACTGCGTAACGTTAAAGCATAAGTTGTACGTTAAATATTATGACGTTGACGTCAATAACGTTTTGGAGTGTGCCGCTGTCGCTGACATGTGTTTATGTAAAATTAAATATTGTTGTAATATAAGAAGTTACTAACATGAATTTTTCTGTATTTATTTGTTACTTATTCTTCTAAACAGTGTAAGAATTTCAAATCAATATCTCAAATATATTTTACGCAACAAAGAAAGTCCACGAAATTTTGGATAACCCCTCGTATAGTTATTTTATCATGTTATACCCGTTTCATTTTGTGCATTTAAGCATGTTAAAACAAAACCTTTACGTCATTGTTTGGTTCCACATTTATGTCTTATATCACCAAACCCCATCTTTTTTATGTAATGCTACACTAATAACATTATGAAAACTTAGCATAATGTATAATTTTTATCGATTTTGCTCGAATACTGTTGTCTTTAAAACCATTATATTTTCAAATGGTTGGAATGTACAGAGTAAATAACCAAGATTTCTTCATGAAGTGAACAAAAGATACAAAGCATCATAAGTTTTTAAAAGAATTACTTTAAAATATGATTATATTAATGTATTAAGTTTTCTATAACCAATATTTCGATGTTAATATTGATTTACTGTAAACATGGTATATAAAAAAACAACAACAAAAAAAAACCCCAACTCTTTGTTTGATATACGCATGGTAGAATATACTCTTGTTTGATTCTTTAAAGAATTATGTTTTTTCTTTTCTTTATGATGAATGATCACTATTCTGATATTCTGTCCATCGTCGAATTAAAAGTTCTTTAAATCATGCTGCCAATGATTGTTGCCCTTGTGTGGCTGAGATTTTAATCCTAACCCGCTAAAGCCGAGAGCGGATAGCTCTTGCCGTCAAGACAACGTCTTGTAGTCCGACCATGCCCTTATATTATTGGTAGCCTACTTGTATATTTTTATATTGAAATTCTTTTAATTTGAAGACAATGTTTCCAATTACATGCAGAGCAAATCCATTACAAAATTGAATGTCCATAACGTATCATTTTTAGCCTAATTAGCATATTTTTAATATTTCAATTAATATATTTCCACGTGAATTACCTAAAATACCGAACGAGATTTGTTAATTTGAAACTATAAATTAAACATAGTTTTGCATACATGAATAAGTGTAGTTAATATCTTGTTGCAAGTTATAACAATGTCTGCAGGCATTATTGATTTACCTACAATCGTTTTGCACTCATGCTTAGTATAAAAGAGACATGAAGTTGATAATTATGCTTACCACCGATGTACCTTTTTGCAAATGATTTATTACCATTCCAAATTAAAAACCTGTCAGAATAGTTTTTTTGTATTAAATGTAATAGGTTAATGGGAAATGCAGATGCATATTCTGATGTTGTATGAAATTCTTTGTCATTTAGAAGTAAAATATGAAATATCCAAGGATATCAATTACATGTTTATTTTAATGATACATTTAAGTATATATAATATTACAATAGTGAACCTTTACTTAAGGTATTCAAATGATATTCACTCCCTTATTCAGAAAAAAAATGTGTCTATACATGCAATAATAACATTATCTTATATTATCAAACACGAAATACTTCAAGGATAAAAGTTATGTAAGGCTTTGTTGTTACTTTTATGTATTTGACTTTTTAATGCAAGTATCAATGTAGGCTTAGTAATTAATGAATTAATGTTGAATTCTGCTTAAGCCGGTGCTAGGGGGCGTGGACGGTAACATGCACTTTCCAGTGCGTCCATGAACAGGCTCAATCAAACCGAGCCTGCAACATTTTACAATTTTGCCGTGTTGGGCTTTCTTAAGGGATTCTGTTTTTCTCTATTTTAGTCTTATTTTTTCTCATTATATTCTACCTATTCAATTCAAAACATGTATGTTGTATGTTCAATATTAGAGTGAATAATAGTACGACATTTAATTTTCACTATGACTTACTTAAGAATATACAAGTATGATTTCATGCATTTTCCTAATCCCAAACACGACAAAGCAAAACTTTGCGTATATTTTCGTCCTACTTAAAACAAAACCCACAGAAAAAAGATACCTGAGTATATAGTTACATAAAACCAATGAAGCTTGTGGTTTAAGACCGGTGGTAAATGTTTATTGGGTATTTATCATGTTTTATCATGATGTGTTAATTGGATAAGCGTATTACGGTACATTAGCGTTCTACTTTTTTCATAAGGATGAAAGGATTTAAGTATAGCGCAAATGCATTGTTGCTTGCTATTGTAATTTAAAATGCATTTATAAAGCAAAAGTGTTAATTTGTAAAGTTTATTTTTCTGTTAGCATAAATAGATATTATAAACAACCTTGAACTATTTCACTTTTACTATTTCCTAGTCATATGTTTTGCAACTTCTTCGAATGCATGCAATTTGAAATAATTCAAATGTTCAAAAATATTTCTTTAAGCCTTATATCAATAAGCATCATATAAAGGTGCGACGACATCATCCACATAGTTTTTTGTAATACGTAAGAAGAATATGTTATTGACTCAGTTGTTCAAAGAATGCTCAAACACCATCTGTTACTTTATTGCTAAAAAACCGTTTATACATAGAAACAAAAATATACTTACTGAAGAGATGTTAGAAAAATAAACCTCATATTTTTCTGGCATGCAGGTAATCAACAAGTTATAATGTTCAATAATTGTTGGTAAAAAATGTTCTTCGTAGTTTTTTTTACAAAAATGGGTATAGATTTTACAACTTTCATATTTTCACTATAAAAAAGTATCATTTCACAGTTCATTGTAGACATGTTTTGCAAAGAAACTTTGCGGAGTATATTGTGGCTGTTTACGACTTATCTTTTTCCCGGAAACTCCAAAAAATGCGAAATCATAAAACTAAAGGATGACGAAATTCATAATGCAAAATTTGCTGTTGCTGTGTCTACGTATTTTCAAAAGACGACAAAAGGAGGACAACGCTATGACACATAAAATGTTTGATTTATAGAATTGGTCGTGTTTTTGAATCATATTCACACCTGTCGTGTTTTAATAATTTGAGGCGCAAATTCAAAAAGTCGAAAACACAAAAAAATAACAGTTTAATCTGTTTGTCCTTTCGCATTTTCGCATTCTGTGTTTTAGGATGAGCCTGTTGTACACGTACATCAATGACTGTATTACTCAACGTCTGTTGTAAGGCATAGGTGATAATTCAGCACTTGCATAACCCGAAGATGAGAAAAAGCGAAAACACAACTTTGCGGCAAAAAAGCGAAAATGCAAATGTTTTGCATCTTTGTGACAAAATTGGAAAATAAAGCACCAAATATTTAGAGAGAAGAAATAATTTCAAATCTAAATATATTCTTTTATTTCACTATAGTTAACATGAAAACATTTTACATATTAATTACAAATTACCTTAATGATAAAACGATGTGAAGGTTTTACCATTAATGGAGCTGTAATTGTTGAATTTCTTAAGGAGTTGTTTTGACTGAAAACACTGCAGAAGGTTTATTTTAAGAGTATCTTAGTATTCAACTTGGATTAGAATATTGGAGCTGAATATATTAGAATCTTACGGGACGTGGTGGCTTCGAGTATATATATGGTCCATTATTATTTGTAACCCTTTCAATCAATAGCTTTATGAATAAATTTTAGTTGCACGTTTGTAAACGTTATTCAGTTTCAGGTTCGTTTACAATGTTAATTTTGTTGAGTCGCGCTCGTGGTTTACAATAGAGGATACAGTATACAAAGGAAAAAACAAGACAATCATTGTAAGATAATTTTTTGACAAATGTTCATCGAATGCCAATGGTACCTTTCTTTTATTGTGCATATAGAAACTAATAGACAAATTATAATAAACCTGATGTAAGCAGTCAACATTCCATCGTAAAACCTGTTAATATTGAAACATTCATGACATAGAATTCACTCAAACAATAAAGCACGAGAATACAGATACCGAAGAATCTATCAACGAAAGACATAAAGAA